TTCCCTCATTTATTCTCTTCCTGTCTATGGGTGAGCAGTAAAATTTTTATTTTCTTGAAATATTGGATATCTTGATCAATATTGTATTTATCTTTTGAGTGGTGGTGGTTAGGTGGGGGAGTGCTTTGTTGTGTTTCTAGATGCATAAGCTTCGTGGTATTTACAATGTGTGAGTTTCTAATAATGCTCCTGGTTGGCAGGAGAGGTTGGGCCAACTCTAAAGTGGGATCAGTAGTATCGTGCTACGCTCTGGCTTCTTTCTTTGCTGCCCTGTAGAATATTGAACTCAACATGGCCATTATTGTTTGCGAGCTGCTAAATGCAACTGAAGAAGTTTTGTAGAAACTGCAGTCGCCCTCTTGTACAGTAAATGTTGTATTAATGGCTCAATCAATGTTTATAAACCTGTATGGCATTGTACATTATTTAGTAGGTTTAGCTTTTAGAACTTCTAATCGCTGGAATGTGTACAAGTAAATTTTATTGCGGCTAGCATTGCTCCAGTTCTCTGAGTTTGCATTCATCACTTGTCTCTTTTCTTCATCTTCTCTCTTGTGGTTTAATTTCCTTCTACTGAAACCAAAGGTTGGTGATAGTTGGGCTTCATGTTGCCTGAATTCATCAATTTCAGAACATAAACTTTATTGAGACTACAGGTAAAAGCCAAACGACTGTTGCCATCTTCAAGTACGAAGATGTCGAAAAACCTTCGCATATATATTGTCTTGGCATTTTTGAGCAAGGTGGGACGTTTTGATGGAATGTAGTAGAAGCATCTTAATCTCTATCTTAAGCTGTTTACTGCTGCTTCGGCTGCCAGTGTTTGTCGTTACATTTTTTTTTGAAGTGTGGATGGAAGACATTTTTTTAAAAGCGGAGCTGCAGCTTCATGGAAGACATTTTATCTTTTGTTGTATTTACCTTTTTTACTCACCATATCTATTTATATGGTATAGGAGAAAGAAATCAATATGATGATTTCAAGTTTCACAACAAAACTTCAACAAATGTCAAATTTTAGGACAAAATTAGATAGGTTAGTAATAATTAGTTACTCTTTTTGAATTTGAATTTAAAACAATTAAATATCTATATATATTAAGGAAATTGTTATTAAAAAAAAAGAAAAAAATATATAAATACATATAACTTCAATAAAATGATAAGACTAATTTGTTTTTTTTGAGAGGAGAAAGTTTTTGAATAATAGTTCATATGGTCATGCTATATGCTATATGGATAAGATAAAACTAACGTATAAAGAGGAGAATAGATATAATGTGATTCTATCCACACTTTAAATTTATTTGATAAAATTAAGTAAATAAATAATACCCGAAAATATTATTGATAAATTTAAATATCAGCATAATTATGAGAAAGTCATAAAGGATAAAGTCAAGTTAAATTTCAAGAGTGATACAAAATTATGTTCATTGTATTATATTAAATTAAACTGGTAATTTATTAAAAATTCATATGTATTTAATAAATATTAAGTAATTAATAATACAATTAGATAAGCAAGAAAAAAAAAGAAAAAAATATAACTTTATGGGAAAATATAATATAAGACTTATAATTAGAATTATGATGGTACATACACACACAACCAAAATCATAATAAACAAATAGTTATAAAGGAAGAATATTAGAAAAAAAGAAAAGAATTTCAAGCGATAGCGTAAAAAAGTATATACGCATTAATTAAATTTCTCGTGTAGGAAATTTTAGTTAATAAATAGAACTTATAATTTCATAATGAAAAATACAAAAATGAAGATACTATTAGAATAGTAAACACAAGATAAACATATTTTATTTATAACACAAACTAATAATTATTAAAAATATTGTTAGTTAGACTTCTCTCTCTCTTCTCTCTTAGCGCATGATAGCGTGCTTGTGCTAACATACGCTGAACAACAACGGGGAGGGGTAGGCCGAAGAGAAACGCGACTATGATTCAGCTTGTGGATTATACGGGAACTAGCAACAACACTCAGATCACTGGAACGCAAAGTTCGGAGATCACAGATGCGAAGAAAATTTTAATGGAACAGTGGCCTCCATTATCAGCCACAAAGGAAGGTATGCGAACACCCCCTGCTATGAGTTCTTTACCGATGATTGATTGTGCAAAGGTAACTACTGGCAATCAGTTGAAAAACGTCAACCCTAGCTCAGGAAAAACTGATCTGCATGCGAGCAATTCAGAAGCAAATACTGGTAATCAGTTGAAGGACGGCAACCCTAACTCAGGAAAAATTGATCTACATGCGAGCAATTCGGGGGAAATTGGGGATAGGTTAGAGGATGATAAAAACAAGGACAAATTATCAGCTGCGAGCACAGAGCAAGACCAGAAGAGGTGGGCTAATTTGTTTGTGGGGAACAGATTGGTAGCGAAAGGAATGGATCTAAGTTTCATTGCACCAACCATAAAAAATGGAGAAGTAATTGTTGAATTATGCAAAGAAGACGTGGAAGAGGAAACAAGGAAATGGAAGCAAGCCCTGATCCTGTATGTTGTTGGAGGAACCCCAACAATAGGAGCTATGGAACGTTTTATTGCTTCAGCGTGGAATTTTGTAACAAAGCCAAAAGTCTACTTTCACAATGATGGGTATTTTGTGATAAGATTTAACTCTACAGATGACAGAGATGAAGTTGTGTACTTAGGGCCTCACATGCTGAATAATAAGCCGATAATCATGAAGGTATGGTCAGATAATTTTGATTTTAATAAGGAGGTATTGCAAACCATCCCTGTGTGGGTAAAGTTCCCTAATCTACCACTGAATTGTTAGGGAGCAAAGTCACTAAGCATGATAAGTAGTGGATTAGGGATTCCCTTATATGCACACGCTTGTAAATTACCTATGCTAGAGTGCTAATTGAGATGGATGTTTGATAGTAGACGATAATTATGCAATTTAGACACTATTTACACTCTAATTTGGCCGCACTTTATCAATGTTTGAATGTAAAAGATAACAAAATGCTCTAATTAAGAGTTTTACCTTTTGCAGGAGCCAGTCCGAGCTAGGAGGAAGCTAAAGAGTGTTTTGGAGTCAATATGGAGCGTGGAAGGCCAATCGGAGGATAGCACAGTCGAAAAGGAGAAAGAAGAGCAAGGACCAGCTCCGCGGCCGCGGACAGAACAATTGTCAAATCCGCGGTCCAATCCGCGGCCGCGGACGAGGAGACGGGAGCCAAAAATCCAGGGTCAATTATGTAATTTCCAGGGCGACTAACCTAAACCTATATGAAGCCTAATTCGTCCAGGAGAGACGGATAGCTGTTTTTAGAGAGATTTTGAAGGCTAGAACACGGAAGAAAGACAGAGAATTTTCCTTAGAGTTTTATTCTTCTTCTTTTTAATTCCATTGTTGATTATGACTTTATTTATTGAATTTTCATCTCTTAGTATGAGTAGCTAAACCCGTCATCTAGGGTTGATGGAACCAAATGTTGGATAAAGTCTTGACTATGTTTTGATATAATTGAGCCGTTTTTACTCTATGATTGTTCAACTACGTGTTGTCTTGTGATTAATTGAGAGGGCACTTGATTAATCGTGTCTAGTTATCTTGTGTTGCTTGAGAAAGAACACTTGGTTAGATTTTTGTTGAACAACACCACTTTCGGGTAAGTTAAGAGATTAATTACTTGAATTTAAAAGCGGGGTTAGAGATAACGAAGCTTTGGTGGAATCATTCTGAGTTGCATAAATTGTTAGCTAGAGTATTTCGAGAGAATGCTTCTAGTAAATTATCGTAATTGATCGAGAGATAATTGCGGTAACCCAGAACTCGTATTTCTTATAGAGTGTTACGGCGAGATTATAGCTAACATGTCAGGAATTAATCCGACAATTGGGGAAATCGATAACCCTAGACCATTTTACCATTGAATTCAACTCTATTCTAGATTATTGCTAGTTTCGTTGCTATATAACTAAATTCTACTCATTATCCATCAAAAATCTTGCATCCGGAAATTGTTTGAACTTGTCATTAGTAGTGGTAAAAGTTGTAGTAAATAGGTTAGTTCCCTGTGGGATTCGACTCCGGACTTAACCGGATTATATATTTGCAGCGACCGCCGAGTCCTTTTTATAAGGCATAGTTGGGCGTGATCAAATTATGACGCCGTTGCCGGAGAACTAACGGTGTTATTTATTGCAACTTTGAAGAATTGCTAGGATTATTAGTTTTAATAAAAATTTTGTGGTGTTAACAATATTTCCATTGAAATTCTCACGTTTGAACTCTTCCGTAACTCAGGTGCATGCCTGGAAGCTCTTTGAGAACCGGTGAACTCTTTGAAGGACTCTTAGATCCCGAGAAAGCATTCCGGACATTAAATCGGGCTAACAAGAAGAGCAAACAGCTAGAACAAAACGAACAAATTGAAACTGAAATGGGTGACGTAGACAACAGGAATGATCGAGATGACCCAAACGTCAGAATGGTAGCCCCTTTTGCGCCGGAAGCTGCTCTCTATATTTGGGTGCAACCAACTGCTGATATCCTGGCCACATCAATTGCGGTTCCTCAGATACAAGCGGAGACATTCCAGGTCACCAACAACATGCTGCACCTGTTGCAGAATAAAGGGCTGTTCTCCGGGTCATACATTGAAGACCCACAACAACATCTGAAGAACTTTCTATCAATATGTGTCACTCAAAGACATCCAAATGTGACCCCTGAGGCAATCAAATTATTATTGTTCCCATTCTTAGTGACTGGGGACGCTCAAGCTTGGCTGAATTCGCTCCCAATAAAATCCATTGCTACATAGGAGAAACTAGTCAAGCAGTTCTTGAACAAGTTTATCCACCCAACAAAACTGCGAGGCAGATTGATGAGATATTGCAATTCAGGCAGAAACCAACTGAGACTTTGTAAGAAACCTGGGAGAGGTTTAAGGGTATGTTGGTGAAGTGTCCTCACCATGGCATTTCGGATCTGATGCTGGGACAGAGATTATATATGGGTTTGGCTGACAGTCTGAAGGCCAATGTAGATGCTTCTGCCGGGGGTGCATTCTTGAGCAAAACTTTCACAGAGTGCAAGATTCTTCTTGACAAGATGTCTCAAAATTCAGGCTGGATGACGAGGGACAACCCACTCACTCCAATAGTGCATTCTGTCGCTCTTGACCCAAACAGTACACATGCAGAAAACATAGTCACTCTTATGACCCAGATGAGCTTGCTGATAAAGAAAATCGATGAGATGGGTACGAAACAGGTGCACATTGTTGATACCACAAATGGAGGCTTATGCACTCCTTTCATAAACCAGTCATATGTGTGCTCGTGGAGTGGAGAGAATGACAGCCAGAGTTTCAGAGAAGACATGAATTATGTCAATAATTTTGGAGGTCAGAGGTAAGGTGGGCAGCAATGGGGACCAACAACAAACCATCAGTACAGACCAAACTAGCCACAACACAACCCCAATCCAGGAGGAGCACGACCACAAGGCCAAGCCGTGCCTTATCAAAGGCAACAAGGCTATAATCAGCAGCACCAGCAACAGTTGACCTACCAACCACCTCATCAGCAACAGGATAGTAACATGATCGAAATCAGGGGTATGCTGCAACAACTCATTGGGACAAATGGAAAGATGCAAGAGAAGTTAGCTGCACATGATTTAGCAATCAAAGGCATTGAAACTCAATTGGGACAACTATTTATGGCCTTGAACAATTGCCCACAAGGAACATTGCCTGCAGATACAAACATTAATCCAAAGGAGCAGAACCCGAATCAGCTCATGGCAGTGAGTCCAGGAATGGGAGAGATTTAGACAGGGAGCAAGAAGTTGCTCAATCCAGGAAAGAGCCAACGCCAACTACTCCAGCTACTTCCAGTTACATTAGAGATCGATGAGTCAGCAGAGCTCACCGAAGTTGTAATCGAGCAAGCACAGGTTGACAAGGGTAAGGAGAAGGAAGGTGAAAAACTCCCAGAACAGGTATTAGAAAAAGCTTCCAGCAAAGAAAAGACACAAAGCAGTGGGCAGAGGTTGATTCCTGCACCATTCCCTCAGAGGTTGGCAAAGCAAAAGAAAGATGATCAATACAGGAAATTCATGGAAATGCTCAGACAAATTCAATTGAATATCCCACTGATAGATGCTTTGAGGAAAATGCCAGGGTATGCAAAAATGATGAAGGACCTGATGTCGCGAAAATCTGACTTCTAGGACCTTTCCACTGTAACTCTGACACAGACCCACAGCGCGGTAGTGACAAGACCTATGGCTCAAAAGGTGTCTGATCCAGGTGGTTTCACTATCCCATTCACCATTGGGAGTTATGCTTTTGCTAAAGCATTGTGTGACTTGGGAGCCAGTATAAACTTGATGCCATTGGAAATCTATACAAAACTGGACATTGGCAGAGCTAGACCGACCTCAATGTTGCTGCAAATGACTGATCGCACAGTCAAAAGACCGACAGGAATTCTTGATGATGTGCTTGTTCAAGTGGGGAAATTTGTATTCCCTGCAGACTTCGTCGTTCTTGATTGTCAAGTGGATGAAGAGATCATTCTGGGCAGGCCATTTTTAGCCACTGGCAGAGCATTGATTGATTGTGAGACCGGAGAATTGAAAATGAGGTTGAACAATGAAGAGATAATATTCAATGTTCAACAATCTATGAGGAGACCTGATGATAGGATATAATTGCGTATTTTAGTCGATTATTACACTCTAATTTACTTCACTTTAATTGAGTTTGAGCTTTAATCGCTAGTGTCTTGCGCTAACTGTGTATTTTATGCCTTGTAGGAGTGATTCCGAGCTATGTAGATGTTATGGAATGAATTCAAGTGATTTGGAGCTTTGAAGTCTGAGTAAAAGCTCAAGGAATTAAGCCGGGATCGTGTTTGGGGGTCAACGGATGATAGTTAGAGCGAACGAAGAATCGAGTAGGCATATCGCGCACTGTCTAGTAAAATGGATATAACGTTTTGCTCAGAACTCCATTTGGGATCCACAATATATGGTTGGAAAGCTAACTCAAATGGATACAACTTTAATGTTTTACGTTTTTCCAAATTCCAAATGGAACAGGGTCAAAAATGCGATTGAAACTGCGACTGCGGACCTGACGCGGACGGAGACAGAATATAACCCAACTAGCGCTCGCTTAGCGCGGCCACGCTTGTCCAGACGGAAAAATAGATCTGAAGGGTACTTTTGGAAGTTCAAGACCAATCCCCTCAATCTATAAAAGGTTTAGTTCGTCCAAAGGAGCAGGGAATAAGTTTTTAGGGTTTAGAACAAGGAAAAAAACAAGAGGCAAGGAGGCAGAGACACAATAGGAGCAAGGCGGGGAATTCTTCAACAAGTTTTTCCTTCCTCTTCCTATTTTTCATTGTTGGTTATGATTTTTAGTATTGTAGTTTTACATACTATTATGAATAGCTAATTCGTTTTCTAGGGTTTTGATGGAACCTTTTGTAGGATAAATTCTTGTTGTGTTTTTATATAATTGAGCCGTTTGATTTCTCTACTTGTTCAACTACGTGTTTGTCATTGTTGATTGAATGGCCATCAATTGACTGTGCCTATTTAGTGTGTACTGCTTGAGAGAGAGTACATATTTAGGTAGTTGTTGAACAACGTCACTCCTAACGTATGTGAGAAATTAATATATTGGGTTTAAAGGTAGGTTTAGAAATAACAAAGCCTTGACGTGGTCATAATGAGCGGTTAGATAAAGCCAACTAGTGTAGTTCGAGAGAATATGTCTAGTAAATTGTTGTAGTTGCTCGAGAAAGAATTACAGCACCTAAAGTGCTCACGATCAGTAGAGAATACATTAGCAAAATTGTAGGGAACATAGCTAGAAGGATTTCGACAATTGGGGAAATTATAACTCTAGACCTCCTTAATTTAGTCTCCAACCCTTAGTCTCGTTAGTTGATAATTTTACTGCTTTGTAGTATTTGCTAGTTAATTAGTTAGAAATATAAATCGCAATCTTTATAATTTAGAAAATTATTCAATCTTGTCTTCTTGGTGATATTAAACAGATACAGCTAAGCCTTAGTTCTCTGTGGGATTTGACTCCGGACTTTTAGACCAGATTATATTTGCAGCGACCGCTTATCCTTTTTAGGACTAGAGTTGTAGAAAATTTGCAAATTGCTCACTAGTGGAGGCCATAGATGTAATACTACAAGAGGAGGATGAGACTATTAATGTCAGGTATCCGTTGGAAGCCTGCCTGATAAATCTGGAAAATGTGGATGGTGAAGAGTTGGCAGAGTGGGTCATGGCTCTTGAAGGTCAAGGATTCTGGAAAAGGGAGCCCGAGTTCAAACCCCTACACTTAGAAGAAAGAACATCACCGCCTGCGAAACCATCGATAGATGAGCCACCACAGTTGGACCTGAAACCGCTTCCAGCGCATCTCAGGTACGCTTTCTTAGGGCCTAATTCTACTTTACCTGTTATTATATCATCCGGTTTGCTAGCTGTGCAGGTAGAGCAACTCCTATAGGTGTTACAAGAATGTAAGACTGCTATTGGTTGGACCATGGCAGACATAAAGGGTATCATCCCAGCTTTTTGTATGCATAAGATTCTCTTGGAAGAAGGGCACAGACCTTCCAGAGAACATCAACGAAGGCTGAAACCGAATATAAAAGAGCTGGTGAAGAAGGAAGTGATCAAATGGTTAGATGCGGGTATCATCTTCCCCATCTCTGACAGCAATTGGGTCAACCCTGTTCAGTGTGTGCCAAAGAAGGGAGGAATGACGGTCGTACAAAATGAGAATAACGAGTTGATCTCAACTCGTACTATCACGGGATGGAGGATTTGTATGGATTTTCGGAAATTGAACACAGCCACCCGGAAGGACCATTTTCCCTTGCCATTCATTGACCAAATGCTGGACAGGTTGGCTAGGCGATCTCACTTCTGTTTCTTGGATGGATATTCGGGGTACAATCAAATCTCAATAGCCCTCGAAGACAGAGAGAAAACATCATTCACCTGTCCGTATGGCATCTTTGCCTTTCGGAGAATGCCTTTTGGACTTTGCAATGAACCGACTACATTCCAACGATGCATGTTAGCCATTTTCACGGACATGGTTAAAGACATTATGGAGGTATTTATGGATGTTTTCTCCGTGGTGGGGGATTCATTCGAGGACTGTCTTCACAATTTAAGAAGAGTGCTCAGACGAAGTGTGGAGACAAATTTAGTGCTGAATTAGGAGAAGTTCCATTTTATGGTACAAGAAGGGATAGTCTTGGGGAATCCAGTGTCCAGCAAAGGAATTGAGGTTGACCATGCTAAGGTTGACGTGATTGAGAATTTGCCACCGCCCACTTCAGTCAAGGCAGTGAGAAGTTTCCTTGGGCACGCCGGGTTCTACCGGCGATTCATAAAAGATTTCTCTAAGATTGCTAACCCTTTATGCACACTCCTTGAAAAGGATCAGCCCTTTGTGTTTTCTAATGATTGAAGGTCAGCATTGAGGAGCTGAAGAAGAGATTGGTCACTGCACCCATCATTGTTGCACCCAACTGGGAGCAACCGTTCGAGCTCATGTACGACGCAAGTGACTATGCTATCGGACCAGTCCTGGGGCAGCGAAAGGATAAGCTGATGCACGCAATTTATTGTGCAAGCAGAACGCTAAGTGGTGCACAACTCAATTACACCGTGACTGAAAAGGAGATGTTGGCTGTAGTTTTTGCATTCGACAAATTCAGGTCGTACTTGATTGGTTCAAAAGTTATTGTGTATACTGACCATGCATCAATTAGGTACTTGATAGCAAAGAAGGAGTCAAAGCCACACTTGATCCGATGGGTTCTTTTGCTACATGAATTCGATCTGGAAATCTGTAACAGAAAAAGGATAGAGAACCAGGTAGCAGACCACCTCTCAAGGTTGGAAGGAGTTGAAAGAAGGTAGAGGTTGAAGATATAACAGAGACATTCCCTGATGAACAGTTACTAGCAGTGACAATGGAGGAGACACCGTGGTATGTTGATATTGCTAATTATTTAGCAAGCGGTATTGTATCTTATGAACTCTCTTCAATTCAAAAGAAAAAGTTCTTTCGCGATTTTCGGTTTTATTATTGGGATGAACCTCTACTTTTTAAAATATGTGTAGATAACATGATTCGGAGGTGTATCCCCAAGAAAGATCAACCTTCTGTTTTGCAGGCTTGCCATGATTCACCATATGGTGGAAACTTTGGAGGGATTCAGACATCAGCTAAGGTGTTGGAATCGGATTTTATTGGCCAAATCTGTTCAAGGATGCCCATGCTTGGGTGAAGAGCTGTGATGAGTGCCAAAGGACAGGCAACATATCTCGAAATCACGAGATGCCGATGACTACCATTCAAGAGGTGGAGGTATTTGACATGTGGGGGATTGACTTTATGGGGCCATTCGTCAGCTCGTATGGTAACAAATACATACTGGTGGCAGTTGACTATGTCTCCAAATGGGTTGAAGCTGTGGCTCTCCCAACCAATGATGCAAAGGGGGTGACATGCTTTCTAAAGAAAAACATCTTCACACATTTTTGCACCCCGAGAGCTATAATCAGTGATGGTGGAACCCATTTTTGCAATAGAGCGTTCGCATGGCTATTGGAAAAGTATGGAGTTTAGCATAAGGTGACCACCCCTTATCACCCACAGTCGAGCGGGCAAGTTGAAGTGTCAAACCGGGAAATCAAAAATGTCCTAACCAAGACAGTGAATGCGACAAGGACTGGTTGGGCGAAGAAGCTGGATGATGCATTATGGGCGTACCGCACAACATTTAAATCTCCAATTGGTATGTCACCATACAAGTTGGTGTTTGGAAAAGCATGTAACCTTCCAGTAGAGCTCGAGCATAAAGCCCTTTGGGCACTGCGACAGTTGAATTTCGATATGGAGACCGCAGGCACAGTAGAGTCACTGGGTTACATGAACTCGAGGAATTCAGATTCCATGCATTTGAGAATGCAAGATTGTACAAAGAAAGGATGAAAATGATGCATGATAAGCATATCCTGGATCAGAACTTCAAACCCAGAGATCTAGTGTTGTTATACAACTCGAGACTAAGATAATTTCCAGGTAAATTGAAGTCCCGATGGTCAGGACCTTTCAGAGTGGTGCAAGTGTTCTCAAGCGGAGCTGTAGAAATTGAATCCAAAGATGGAACGAATAAGTTCAAAGTGAATGGGCAAAGGTTGAAACATTACCTTGGAATGGTCGAAGAAAAGGGGGATAGAGTGGTGATATCTTTGGAAGAGCCCCAATATATGAGCGAAGAGTAATAATGAAAGCCTGCATCGTGCCGCGACGTTAAATCAGGTGCTTCCGGGGAGGCTACCCATGGTTTATTGTAAATCGTCGTGCCGCGACGTTAAATTAGGCGCTTGTTGGGAGGCAACCCATCATTTTTTCTTTGTTCTTATTTTTTTTTGTAATTGATTTTTGAACGGTGACAATATTAATCGATCTACTAAGGTGTAGGAACGAAGGTATGCGTAGCGAAAGGACTCGGGGTGACGAAAGTATCCCGAAGATAGGCAAAAATGCGAAAAAGCAAACAAAAAAATCTTGGATGCCTAATCCGCGGCCGCGGATCTGAACGCGGATCAAGCGCAGAGTTTGCAAATGTTCTGTCCGCGGCCGCGGATCTAACCGCGGATCCTGCCGCGGACCTGGCGCCGTTCAGGTTTCATTTTTTATTTTTTATCCGTTTATTTTCTTCTCCCTTCCCCCATTTTTAATTAGTTTTTTTATTTAAAAGCCCCCCTCATCCGCCCAATCCCCCATTCTTCCCCCCCCCCTCCCCCC